CTTTTCTGTTTAGTTGATGTTATAATGCGGGGGATAAAGGAAATAGGACAGGGGAAAAATAAGAAAGAAGCCTTTGGCGTCTCCTGACCACCTACGGTGACCCTTCAGTGTCACCATCTTACAATATGTTCATACTAATTTAATGCATCTGTAGTTTTCTTTGCATGTCGATGTTACTACGTAAAATGTATACATCAAACATACATACATAATAACATCAGACATAAACTTTTTTTTATAAAGAACATAAAACAAAGAATCTGTGCCACTATGCTGTTGGTTGAAACTTGAAGTTACGATTCATGCATTCAAAAGGGTTCATATATAGGCCAATCACATTTCAAATAAGCAATACTGCACGTCTTTTCAGTCAAAGCATTTAAACCGTTATTTACTCCGTGTGTATGCACTGATTCTAATGAACTCTACTGTCTACCAAATGCTTCATACCAAAACAAAATGACGCCAAGCAAGACAATGGAAATAGTTCGCTACATTCACCTAATGGGATTTAGGAGTTGCTGGTGTGAACCAAGAATTGAGTCCACTTTCGTCGTCGGGTAACCACACCAAAACTGAACTTACAGTAGAAAAATATTCACCAGTACTACTCCGTGCTTTCCTCAAAATTTGAATCTCTTCGCAAAATGGCACCCAAGGTTACCTATATGATGGCAACTGAATCGTAACACCTGCTGCCCGCACAAGTTATCGACATTTCCGTTTCAGTGCATTTGTACCGTGTGGACGAAAGCCCAGACAACGACACAGAGTTGAAACCTACTAGAAAAACCTTGTTTAACGTAGTGGAGATCTAATTAAAGAAAAGGCACCAACAGTTGCCTCGCTCAGTGCCAATATTATTAAACTTCGATCTCTATGTCTGTCATGTAAAATTATTCATGAGGTGCTGGCTAATTGTTTGTGGCGAAAGGAAAAGAAAGCAAGGAAGTACATACGCTAAGACCTGAATTTATATAAAGAATAATCATGGCCAACTGGACATAAATTCTTTTGCATCGACAGACAGCATTACAGAACGTGTCCAGTCTTCTCCCCGTCCCAAATTTCACGAGGAAAATGTACCACCACTTGTACGACAGGTGCGTATGATGTGAGTATAAACGACACAGCCTTCGAATCCGAGACCATGTGACGCCAGGAGTCTCAAATCTCATCTCATACAATCAACCAAATATATACGCTGGTACATAGGTAGATCCATTAAATCTTTGGCTCAAATGCTATTAGCAAACGAGAGCAAGTATCTGCCGCGATATCCATCGCATTCTCCGGCTGAGACCTTGGCCTTGGCAAGCGATAGTTCCAGGGAAGAGGTTGTTCCTTTTACCGCCGTTGGCGGCTTGAGGTATAAAGCTCGGCTGCAATCAAGTCGCAGCACGGTCGGGGACGAAACAAACACTCCCAATAGAGCAACGGGATCCAATGCACGCCACATGCACCTGTATCGTTTTCTTGGTACGCTGTGGGCACTCTCTACGCTACGACTTGGATAAAACTAATTTTGGGGAGGATGTAGAGGCAATTGTCATGCGTTTGAAACAACACCCCGCAGGAATCTGTAATTTTTCCGATTTCTCACCGTGCAATGCGAATATTTTTCATTTGTTTGAAATGTAAATACAGATGTTAAGACAGGTCTATCGATAGAATAACTCAATAAATACATTAACCGAAATCCCATCAGAAAAACTGACGACAGGACAAAAATACAGCAGTGCATTCCATACAGTTATAATGGAAGTTATACCTTGAAATATCTACCGCCGTCTTTTGTACTATTTTTTAAAATGAAACAACAGTGGACAAACTAATGAATCACAATGTTTGCAGAAACCGGGATTCGAGTATACCAAAAGTTGCGTTCAACGTATACAGAAAATTATTAATTTTGCTCAAGCTATGTGTATCTGACATTTTAACTGCCAAAAAGTAGCTTCTAAGTAACATCGAACGGGACTTTTATAATTTTTCTCGAGAAATTTCGTGTTCAGTGTACACTTTGGACTAAACCCTTCTCGAAAGAAGGTCAACCTTACCCTAATTGAGCATCAGTTGAGGTAATCTCATATCCGATGTCATCAATGCCCAACATGTCTGATTACAGCACATAGGTAAGAGCATTCATGGTCACTGCCCCATCCTAGATCGAATGATCTTGCTCATTGGGGTTTAGCAATGGCGACAGCAATGTATCACATCCCAATATAAATAATATGTATTATTAAGACTATGCTGGGTGGATGAATGTATGTCTCAATGGTTCATACATTATAAAGAGTTTGATGAACTTAACAAGGGTATCCCTGGTGGATAAACAAATTTATTTCCAGTTTGTACTGCATTTTAGACTTTGTGGGATAAACAATTCTATCCCTTGTCCATACAGCATTAAAGGGTTTGTCAGGGATAGCTATCCCTAGCACACTAACTAATGTAGTATGAACTAGGGATAGAATTGTCTATCCCTAGCAAACTTTATAGTTCATACTGCCTTAATTAAAAGAGTTTGCCAGGGACAAACAACAATCTCTGGTTCGTACTGCATTGAAGAATTGCGAGGGGTAGACAGATCTGTCCCTTGTTGGAATCTTGTGCGGTGCATTATTTTGGTTGGTCTACAGGAATTTCTTCTTGATCGAGGAATATGCGAGGGCTATTTTAAAATGTTTGTGATTGAAGTGTTTCATGCAGCTTATTCGCATTTTGCTTTGGGTAGGAAACGTTTATCAAAAATTCATAGTTTACTTTTGGACAAATTATGGATTTTCAGAATTATTGAGGGAAATATGCATGAAAAATGATGTTGACAAGAGAGGGAAATGTAATTTCAATTGAATAAAATTGTGATTTGAAAAAGAAATTGTTTGCATGATGTTGTTTTAGCGCTTCAATTCTGAAAAAACTTTCAGGTTACTGTGGATGGATTGAAGACAAAATTTAGCAGCATCTGAAGTGAATACACTGGGTTAGAGACGATCGGTTTGTTTATTTTGTTTATTTTGTTCCCGATTCTCATCTGTGAAATGTTGCTGTAAATTCATAACTTTTCAGGGTCTAGAGAAAGTTGAGAAGGGAAGGTTTGATTTCTCATTTTCACCAATTATTTCACGAAAAATCATCTTTTCAGTGCTCCAATACCTTAAAAAGACGAAATGTGAAAATTTGCAGATAACTGTGAAGGTATTTTATAGTCACTTCCCATAAAAAAACGTGCATCATCAGACTTCATTCACGAGTTTATGCCCGTCAGAATAGTAACCGTAAAGTATTTATGAAATCGTTAAAAACTGCTTGTCTAGTAACTTCCCAAGCCACATTATTATGTATACAAAACAGTTTCCACGATGCATCTAGTTTTGGAAAGACCCAAATCCCGTACAACATAGTAAAACTGCACTGAAATAATTTGTTAGGAGGTACAAGTACTGTTGGTTTTATCACAACGCATTACGATAACGCAGTCCCGAATTTAATCTCCAAGGGATAGGATCGACTGTCTGTGTATAAAAAAAAATGCTTGAATTTCAAGACCTTTTCAAAAGGTTTTCAATAGGCCTATTTACGCGATGGTACCATTCCAAGGGCCCAAAAGCCTTTTTATATCGATGCAATGAAAGTCGAAGCCATGTTTCTCTTTTCTTTTTGGTATCAAAGTCCACGCTCGACACAGAAACCGTTCTCAAGAGTGAATCGCTTCTGGCCACTTCGATTTGGCGAGGTAACGAAGCAACAAGGGAGTATTATAATTTTTCGATAAAGTGCGAAGTTTTACCCACCCTGGGGAGACACTCGCTGAAAGGCAGTGCCGGTAATGAGATCACGGCTTTTATTCCGAAACACTGCTCTCAATTACTGGGGGGGATCTTGAAATTCAGTAAGGCTTAAGAGCTCCGACCGAAATATTTTCAAGAACACACCTGCTTGGTATAACTCCTGTCATACAGAAGGCTCGCTTTGGGATTGGGACGCAGCCCAGGTAGTAGTATTGTGAAATGTTGACTTGCAATTTGTACAGGTTTAAAGTCCTTAGTCGAAGAAAATCCATGCATGATTTACAAAGTAAAACGGGACTGGATTCGATAGAAGTTTCACGCGGCATAATTGACATCTGATAGGGGGGGAAGAGTGCCATACACCGACATCATTTGACACTCTATGCACAAACTCAATGAGACCGGTCTGGAAAATTCAAAGTGTTTTCTAAGTAAATGTCTCAACATTGTCACCGCTAAATTGACTTTTTTAGGACGTTATCACTGTCTGAGGGCTAATAAACTACTGCAAGGGAAAACTAGTGATGTCCGTAGATGGAACTCTCACCATTGAGAGCTTATTCAAACGAGACAAAATGAAACCATGAGGCTTTTGGAAGTCATGCACATCACAGGATTCGACAGATTCTAAAAGGAAAAGTTCAAAAGGAAAACTCAAAATATACACCACCACCCCACCCCCCAGAATTTTCTCGTATAGGAATTGGCAATTTTCATGATTTTTCTAAAAGCTGGAGAGCAATTTATTTATTCATTTCTCGGGAAATACAGGTAAACAAAACAGACAGTAAAACATGAATGTACATGATGGAACAAAGCACAAAACCCAACCAGTCCCCGATGGATTGCCCAAAAGAAAAAGATTCCTGTCGAGGGGATCTCCAGACTAGTTGGCTTAAAAACTTACATAAAATACTTGAATATAGATATACTGATATAATGATATCAATATATTGCTGTGATGTCTTAAAGTCGATCTTCATTGCAATGGTAAAGACTCCCAGCGAATCCTGAAGCTAGGCCAAGGTCTTTGCCAATCGAAAATACGCGGGGACACGCTGACAATACAGTAGCTGTGTGGATGCCTGTTGGGGTGCGGAAACGCTGGTTTTAGAATCAACCAATGATTTCGGCAAACGCTGCACTGAATACGGCGTATTTTTTTGATGCAGATGCTGTTTGCTGACAGAAAATACGACTTACCTGTTAAGATTGACAACCTGCTCATCGCCGGAAAAGGATTATTCCCCGAGGTGTCTAAGATATCCAGCCTATACACCTCGCCCTTGATCTTGTAAATCTTCCGGTGAAAGTCCTCGATGGTGGGGGTGTATTGCTCCTCAAACTGACCATTCAAGAACCGCTTGACGATGGCAGTCTTGCCCACCTTGGAGGAGCCCAGCACCACCAGGCGATAGCAGTTCTTGGCCGGGGTGTTTAGCTCGCTCTCGAGTACCAACACGCTATCGTCGCACATGATGACGGCTCGTTACACGTCTGCTGCAATTCCTGCTTCCGTCGCAAAGAGCTTCAGTTGACAGATTTAATAGGAATAATTCTGTCTCCCGTGGCAGTCTCGACAAATATCTCCCGCGTTGTTGAGTCGTACTGCACCTAGGAGTCTGCCGTGGCGGTAGTTCTTAAGAGGCGAGGACGACGGCCAAGGTCAGCCAATATTTGTGAATCATGATTCACGATGGAAGGTCTGAAGAACAGACTCATCCAATCCGAGCAATCACCATTCCAATCTAACGCACTCGCTGTGACGACTACCGCGACCGCAAGGCAGTGTTTTGAAATGGTCGACTTTAAAACGGATGATTTAGGTTTTTCGCTTGGTCTGGGAAGAAATCTCAGTTTGGCTTGTTTTGAGTTGAACAGCTCCTAGGCTGTTCTGAATTACTCGCCGCATGAAATTCAATATAAGGAAACTTTGACTTCAAACCCAACGCAAAATGGATTTTTGTGGCATCGCCTGCGTCATCAAGACGTCATTAATTAATCCAACGGTAAGCTCACAAATAAGTCTCTTATAACATTCACCGGAGACCATAATTGTTTTGCAAGCCTCCGAAGTTAGTTACCTGAAAACATCACCAATGCTGTGATGAAAACCGCTACCTACCACAGTTGCGGCTTGATTAACTTCACATGGCCGGTGCAGCGCACCGAATCCTTCACTTCAGACAACTAACGACTAATAACGGCACAGACCTGGAACACACTCGTCGGCTTGCTCGATCCTCCGTTGACAAATGAAGGATTTCGGTACATGTCATGTGTCCACTTTGTCCAAGCTAACGCACAATTGCATTTCTTGCAAAGTGAATCACGGCAACATCGATTTGGACAGGCGGTCACTACGCGTTGAATACAACAGTTTCCAAAACGAATGCCACATTGTAGTGCGCATTTTTCTTTCTTTTTTTGTGACACAGTGGCATTGACTTTGCGTTTGACTCAGCTTCGACTCACAAAGCGCCCGCGCGAAGCCGAACACCTGCCGGGCACCATCAGCACCAATGAGGTTGAGCAATAGAATATGAATATTCATATTGACGAAGTCACTAATTTTGATAAGGCGTGCGGTATGCGTGCAATTAGCTTATCAGTACGAACGTGTGGCGAGCAGACGAGATTTCTACAGGTCGGATTGTGATGTCTGCAGGCAGCTTTCTGATCTGATGAATTTGACGCGATTGAGGGCTCCCGAACATGACGAGGAATCGAGTCGAGCAATTACCAAGCTGTGTTCATTTTGACATAATAGGTCCTGTCATAAATTGGGTTTCAACGGCGAGCCGTTAAGTGCATTCCGTTTTCGTGTCTGGTCCACAAATTAAAACTGATTTTGTTTTGGCCGGATAACCGTAGGAAGAGGATGCTGATTAAGTCAGTTTTTTTTTTCTTGATCAAAATTTCACGATCATGCTTTGAAAGCTTTTAAGGTTAACTGTGCAACATTTCTCACCTGATAAAGACGAAATGAAAACATTTTCAGAGCTACTGTACAATGTCTTTATATAGTCCAAAGACAAGTTATCTCTTCGAATAAATTAAATGACAACAGGGCAGCCGAGTTGAAACACGTTTTCAGTGAAGTTGATTCACAAATGCCAATTCTCAATTCTACTTTTCCCTTTACCTTCGACGGACCTTTGTAAAATAACTTAGTTCAATTTCTACTTCATTTTTAATGATCCTCGTAGTATTCACAGAGTCTTTTCAAGTTACCAGCGGAATTTAAACTAACACAATAAACAAACCAATTTCAAACCCCACATTTTGTACACAACAGGCAGGGCTACCGATTCCAAAGTACTGGTTTTAGCTCAAACTTTCAATTACTGCCATAAATAAATATCGGCATTACACTCAGTTTCGTGAGAACAACGTGTGTTTTTGTTTTGAGGTGTATTAGCGTTATGTTAGTTTTTGTTTGTAGTTCTTTATACTTTGTTTGCAGTCTCTTATATAAAGGAAAATGTTTAAGTCTATGCATTATGAAAAAAATCTAAGGACAAGGTTGACCACTACTAAAGGCATTTTTCATCTCCTGCAACTGCATGCGGTTAACTCTAAAGGCATCCAACCTTTACACAATCTGAAATGACATCAAACTTACCCGAGGGGTCATATTTACATAATGAACAATCACGAAGCGGAACCAACCACTAATCTGATGAATCTCGTAGGGGTTGACAGGCCGAGGCAGTTTCTAATTATAGAATCCTTGTACATCAAGACTAGCACTATCCCAATGACTCGGCTAAGGCTGGAAATGACGCGTGTATCTACGTGAAATGCATGAAGCCACTGGCTGCCAGCCTCCTTAAAGGAACAGCGCGTCATTACTCATTCGTATATAATGTCCGTTTGAAGCAACAAAAGTGCCAAAAATGTAAAGAAGGGTGCTTTACAACTAACCCTATGATGGTTAAACTCTTGGGATGCTGTACCTTCCGAGAAAAACCAAATTCTAGGGGCTTCAAGTTCCAATCAAATGTTGCAGTCATGTTTTGAATAACATGTACATCCAAATTCAGGACACGTTCTCATTCGGCCGATTAGACGTAGCTACGCGATGTTCGTGCGTCTTTAGACACATGGTTGGAAATGGTCTTTCGTTGCTTTCATCAAAATGACAGCTTGTCTAAAAGAGTTGTTTCACAGAAAGCTTCAATTGTAGGACTGTACCTTTAACCTCTCCCGTTCACACAAGCCGTAGCCAAATACATGTCCATTTTTAAATGGCCTCGATCTGGCACCATGCTGATGGCTTCCGGTCAGTTTAATTGATAATGCATACCCACGCGCTGTTTAACACGGCATATTCTGTAACAGCATTGCCATGAAGGGCACAGGAAAAGCAACCATTTTCATTGCGTTTCGAGTTAAACTAACCATAGCGTGCATCTGGTAATAAAACATTTTCCTGCTTAATGTTGTAACTTGTGAAATCAACATTTTCAAGGTGGCTTGGGCGATGTCAACCAAGTCTGCCGAACTTGCGAAGTTAGATTCAATATTACAGCTATTTGAACTAAACTAATATTAATATCAAGCTATTTGACTCGTCTTACTTTTACTGGAATAGGCATAGACCAAAAGCATGAAACGCTAGATGTTAATTTTGTATGGAAGAATAACCTTCAGTTAGTCAAGAAGTGACTTGAGCATGGGGGTCACCTTACTGTAACTTACATTGTCCAACACAAAATCCCACCACCATAAAATGACTATTCCTCAAATCACCAGAAGCACACTGCATGCTGCTGTTTTATTGAAAGTTAAATATTTTAACCAAAATCATACAACAAAGACGGGCTACTATGCATTATTTCAACCTAAAAATTATTTTTTTCAGTGTATTGATACATTTGTTAAACGAGAATTTGCCAATCGTCTGTCCGCTTAAGAATCCCTAAGAAAGTTTGAAGACTGGGTTTACGTTGTGGATTCATAAAAAAAAGCTTGTCCAGGAATTTTATTGAAATGAAAATGCTTGTTAGTCTTTACCACAATGCCCTTAGTGTTCCTCGATACAAATGTTTACTTAAATCGAAATACCCTGGGCAAAGAGAAACAACATACAATGTAATCATGTTTCTTTAAAAACAAAGTCAGGCTTGGACAATTCTAGCAGTTTAAGTTCCATTACAGTGCAGTGCATCTCATATACATCTAGAGGTTTTTGTTTCCTTTTTCTTTGTTTATTTTTCCCTTTTTTTAATTCTTTGCTCTGGTAGAAAAATGGCGTACCATGGAACTTTTTAGTTTCTCTTTAAAACAGTTCTTAAATAGTTCATTGGAAGATTCCTCTGCTCTTTTTGGTACGCCATTAAACCAGAGTAAATCTCAAAGAACTAAGTGCAGTAAATAATTACACTATAGCTAAAAAATAGCAATAAAGGTTACCAGTCAACTTGCCATGCAATAGCACATATCTCTTGTGATTGGTTTCCAGCTAATATTTAAATGCAGCCTTTGCCAAGAAGTGATTAGGTGAAACGTTACCATCCCATGTTTACAAGTGGTTTTAGTAAAATTTAGTAAATGTCTAATCACTGTATACTAAGATATTTCTGATCATCTGTGACACTTGAATGCCCTGGGTCATTCAACCAACCATGGTCTGATGGCTGTACAGGTCAAGGGTCACACTACTCAGGAATGCTGGGATACTGTCTTGCTGGTGCAGGAAGGAGTCAATGAAATCACTCAGGGTGGATGAGAAGTCATTTTCCAGAAGCTGCATTTCACCAGTCGCAGTTGCCTTCAATAACAACCATATATTTCAAGAATGTGTCCATGGAAATCAGGAACGGAGTGAAGATTTAAAAATTACCAAAATTACGGAAAGTGACAAAAATAGGACCTTCACCTTGAAAGAACTGTTTAATTCAGATCTTATCAGGTGAATGTATAAAACCATTCCAGGAAAATCGTGGTCCAGCAACAACGTGAAGAAGTGACACACAATCACACGTTGTTCTTTTTAAAGAAAAGCTTGCTGAAATATTTTTGCTTGGTTTTTTAAGATGGATTTTTCAGACCATGGAAAGTAACTGACAAATTTGCCATGGATTTGATTTGAAAAGGATTTTACAAGGAATCATCATGCTGGAACAAGCACAAAGCAACAGATGCAAGACAAAGACTCTCTGGCAAGACGTAAACTAGTGACATTTTCGGCGACCCCATGTTGACATAAACTCATCTGAGAAGCGCAATTTTGATTGTGAATGAAAAAAATCAGAACCACAGTGCTTCTCAAAAGAAACAATTCCTACATGCCTTTCTAGTTTAAGACTCTTGAACACTGTTGCTATGAGGATTCACTGAGCTATGTATCAGACTCCATTCAAGCCGTCAAAGGGTATATTTGGATAGCTTCCACGGGTAGACTTGGGTTCAATCTTATCCACAGTCTCGCTTGTTAAACAGACAGCGCATACGGCCATCCAGGGGTCAGGGCTGCCCCATGGAAACTACTGGAATGCACCCCCTGCTTGCCAGTAAAGTCTCTCTGGATACCAGCTGTGACTGGTACCCTGAGTAACTGAGCCACATAACTTGGAGCGAATGGTTACCTGAAAAAGCAGCACGTCAGTCTCCCTCTCTGCATACATCGACATGAGTCGGTACTGGTTGTCGTTGGATATGTTCACCTGGTACCCTGTCAGCCGGTAACAAGCCTCTCGGAACTCCTGGATCTTCTTCTGGAAGACTTCTTTGAGGCGCTGGTTGCGCAGCTCCGACTCAGACAACTGCTTCTTGAGATCTGCAAACAATGGTGTTTGAACCAGCAAATAACAAGACACACTCTTATAATAAGTGATGTATTTGAACATTACAATAAGGGGATTAGTGAAATCCACACAAGTGGCACTGGAAAGTGTTGTCAACCGCCATAAAAAAAGCACAGCATTAAGATGGAAATTTCAAAACCAATAACAAGACTCTGCAGTCTTAAATAACAATTTCAAAAACACAAAACTCAAAAAAAGATTTTGCTCTGAATTTATGAATTATTAACCTCACTTAAATCTCATCACAAGCAATCTACTGAGAAGCTTACAGAGTTAAGATCAGTTCATACATCAAACATAAGCATAATCAAAGAGAACATTTCATGACGTCAGCAGGTGTAGCTTCCTGGCTACCTGTTTTCATTTGGGACTGCAATTTAAATCAATCTGCTCCTGTGATGCAGTTGTTTGGACAGCGATTACCTTCAACCTCCTGTGCAGTCGACTCCGTCATCTTCTCCATGACGACCTGGGTGACGTCCTCCCCAGCCCCACCCTGCTCAAGGACCTGCACCCTCTTCCTCAACAACTCTGCCTCCTCCTTCAGGCGCTTCATCTCGGCCGACCGCTCCTGCCGCACCAAGGCTGCTGGGTTCTGGGAGAAGCTGATGACTTTGGTTTTCATGGGGTCGTAATCACCCTAGTTAGGGCAGGAAATAAGAGTTATCGTCAAACTGTGTTAAAAGAAGCAAACGGCCTTGACATGGACTATATCAATAACTAACTAGGTGATCAAGCATGCCTCCAAGAGTTTTCAACGCGTTGGCCAATTAGGCTGCACAAAATCTGTCGACCCAATGCAGGTTCAAAAAGGGTCGACAGATTTCGCACGTTGTGATTAGCCAACGCGTTGCAAACTCTTGGAGGCGCACTATTGTGAATCACCAGTATTAAAAAATCTCCTTAAAACTTTTTTAAGACCAAGTTGAGACAATGTTAAGATGAAATCATACTCCAACAATCTGGATTCATTTCTTATGCATTTGTGAAAGGTCTCCCAAAACATCCTGACTTTTAACACTACTTAGCAAGAAAACAACTTCAAAATATTACGTTTATTAACTGACAAACAAGTTCTGATGGTATCACGCATCAATCTTAACATTCTTCGGCAACTGGGTTGCATGTAGCCAGGTCTTCTTTGGAACAAGGGGGAGGGTCATTACCAGGCATCTCAGCAGGTGATCCGTAGTCTGGGGCCTGGTCTAATATCTGCAGGTTTTACGGCCAATTTTTAAGCCCACTTAGCCAGAGTGACTTTGGTACAGCCAACATCAAACTGTAAGGGGTTCATATTCTTCACCGAGGCCAGGCAGAATACACCTGTTTTCACGCACATCTTTCATACATAATGACATTAGAAATTTGTACACATTCAGTTGAAAAATAGTCAGCCCCATCAGTGCTTTTTACATGCACTGACCACTGTGATGCGTCCTCTTGTGAGTCTCACAATAAACAAAATAGCGCCACCAACAATTATTACTCAGAGTCATTAAAACGTTATTAACCTTCAGCGCTCTCCGTTCCAATAACATATCCAGAGACTCATTCTTTTCAGCCAATTTCACGTTCTCCTCTTCAAGCTCCTTTATTCTACTCTTCAATGCCTGGACATCGTCGGCCTGATGAGCAGTAGTCTCATCAGTGACCATAGACAGGGACTGCGTAGGGGCGGGCGGAACTGTCTTCGCCACAGCAAGTTCACTCTGCAGTTGGGCAACCTGAGACTCAAGCTAGTGACGACAAAACATTTCATGTCAAAAGAACGTACCAAGTCTGTGAATCTCTTTAAAAAACAATTAATTTCTGATTAATGATATCAATAATTGTTAACGCTGCGCAGACTAACAGAATCATAGACAGTAATTCAAACGGTCATTCTGTCTACAGTTTCTACACAATTTATTTCTGATTGATGATATCAATAATTGTTAACGCTGCGCAGACTAACAGAATCATAGACAGTAATTCAAATGGTCATTCTGTCTACAGTTTCTACATAATGTACACCAGTCCTCTGTGCTGATCAGGAACTGTTTACCTGTTTATTTTCCAGTCTGCATTTGCCAGCCTCTTCTGTAGCTGCCTTGATGTCATGCTACAATGGTGGTACATGTAGAAACACAATCACAATTCACAAAATGAAAGAGGCAGCCATGTTTGTTTATCCTGAAAACCAGATGAAACCTGATACTTTACTCAAGTAATGATGAAATCAATTATTAAGAAACGTCTGTACTATTTACATCATTTACTCAACTGGGTCAATTATGTGTTCTTAATTCAAATATTTAAAACATGTTAACAACAAATCCACTTTATTTTCCCTGGGTAGTGAAAACCTGAATAAAGTTTAAAATCTCACAATAAGCCAAACCCTGTTTGAGGTTGAGATCACAAATCAGTGCAACATTGAACCAAAATGAAATAAACATGATTGTATTTTTTACCTCCAGAATTTCGATCTGTCTGTGGCAAGTTTGTAGGTTGGCCTCTGCTTGTCTTAGTCGGTCATTGCACTGTGGTTCATAGCCCATACTCGTGACTTCACTATCATAGGAATTCAGGATTTGTCTCATTCCATCCCGTTCCTTCAAATTGAAACCAATCACATACCTCAGTCTTCCAAGCATGCTGTTTGATAACAAGTTTTAAGCGAGTACACATAAAAAGATGAAAAAACGTGATAATTTCTAACTTGTTTTAGTTTTGATTTGATTCCCTGACTCGTGTATTCCTCAAAAAAATGAAAATAAAGAAACAAAACAAAATTACACTGTTTGAAAAAGATGGTTTGAGGAAGATGGAACAGAGTTATACACAATTATAGTCTGAAATTGACTGCTACTAAGACAAAATTAAATGCAAATTTCATAATTTCTAATCTGTACAGAAAGCACAAATTGAATACTTTTGTGAGAAGTAGTAGTCTCCTTTGCAGCCGCTTGACCAGATCTTCCTGTTGTTTCTTATCCTCTTGGAGCTTCAGTAACTCCTGGGTGGTGGAGGCTAGTTTTTCTTTTGTGGCACTGTAGGCCTGCTCAAACGAATGTGAACTGAAAGAGAATAAGCACACGGAAACAAATTCTATATTGAAAGATACACAAAAGAAATGTAAAACCTTCTATTCTGCTGTATCAACTACAAAGGCAACAACTTTTATTACAATGTGTGGACACAAACCAGCACTGTGCATACGGCTGTCTCGTTTTTCAATGATTACGGAGAGTTTTGAACACAAAAGGGAGAAACACTTGTTTGCTTATTTGCAGAGGTGGTAACAAGTCTACTTTTGCAAGTCCAAGTAAAGTCACAAATCAATTTTTGCGAGTCTAAGTCAAGTCACAAGCCATTTGGTCCAAGCACAAGTCAAGTCACAAGTCATTTGATCACAGGCCAAGTCAAGTCAAGTCACAAGTCATTTGATCGCAAGTCAAGTCACAAGTCAATTTGGTGCAAGTACAAGCAAGTCACAAGTCATTTGATCACAAGTCATGTCACAAGTCATTTGATCACAGGCCAAGTCATGTCAAGTCACAAGTCATTTGATCACAGGTAAAGTCAAGTCATGTCACAAGTCAATTTGCTGCAAGCACAAGCAAGTCATAAGTCATTTGATCACAAGTCAAGTCACAAGTCATTTGATCACAGGCCAAATCAAGTCAAGTCACAAATCATTTGATCACAGGCCAAGTCAAGTCAAGTAACAAGTCATCTGATTACAGGCCAAGTCGAGTCAAGACACAAGTCATTTGATCACAGGCCAAATCAAGTCAAGTCACAAATCATTTGANTCACAGGCCAAGTCAAGTCAAGTCAAGTCACAAGTCAAGTTGGTCCAAGCACAAGTCAAGTCACAAGTCTTTTTGTCCAAGTACAAGTCAAGTTGCACTGTGTGTGATTTCAAGCCACAACCTAGTCTTGGTTCCAAGACCTTCCATAGTTAGTCCGCCATCTGTGACTTGAGCCACACAGGAAGGTTTTGGAAATTTTGTTTGACTATGAGTGGCAACAGACTGTGGTAAGAATGGTAGAATATGCATAATTCATATCACTTGGGTAATGATTGGCAGAAGTTATACAATAACCTTCAACCTGTCAACATGCTCCATGTTCATGAACGACGTTTTTGAGCTGAAACATCAGTTAACATCATATTCAACATTTTTTAAGACAATTTGATAGAAGCACTCACAAATATTCTTCTATAGTCTAGGGCAGCAGCCAAGAACTTGCGATGAGCACAGATAACCCAAAATTTGAACCACAAAATGTGGCCCATTTCTCCCCAAAACTGAATGAATGCTCAACAAATATCTGATTATGGGTAGATGTTATAAAAACATTCTATTAGTGTGTCTTGCCCCTTCGAGATTGGGACGCTATTTTGGTTTCCAATTCTAGGCCAAGTGGCATTATTAACTGATATGAATAAATCAATATAAAGCTCAAAGGAAGCTTGAAGTTGGGGGAAAAACAATGAAAACATAAGCACTGCCAGACAAATATGACTACAGCAGCTAAGTGATTCAGACATGGCCTTGGGCAGACAAGACCAAAGTAGAAGTTGTGAGCCGAACCAAGTCTTATGATTAGTTTAAGAACATAAGGCGTAAGTTGATAGGCCTATATTTAAAACTGTAATAAGTTTGATCTAATAGTTTTCTAACTTGCGTTGGTAACAAGTCATAATGTGCAAGTCCATGTCAAGTCACAAAAATAGCGACTCGAGTCCAACTCAAGTCAAAGTCAAATGACTCGAGTCTACAACCCTGCTTACTTGGACAGGAAAATTCCCTGCTTCTCCAACAGAGCAACCTGACCTTGCTGCAGACTAGCGATTTTGGCCGACAACTGGGACGGGGAACTGGAGCAGAAAGGAAGAAACAGATAAGAATCGCTTATCTTGGCATGATCACATCAGATAACTGTCAATAGAACTTTGTTTCAGAAAGAAGTAATTTTGCTGATGCAATTTATAATGAACTGTGTGCCCAGAGCTTTCTAGGAGCGTGGGAAACATTCAGAGAGTTGTTCACAAGGGGTTTGAACCTACATCCTCCTGTTTACAGGTGCAGATGGCTTAACTAACTCAGCTAATGGAGGTCAGCTGGCAAGGTATTGAACCCAAGAGGGCAGTGGACACTGCACTTAATGACTGCTGACAGTACATTAAC